GCCCGCTGAGGGAGCCGCCGAAGCAGCGCTGGAGGGGGCTCCCAGAACCCTGGCTGGAGGAGGGAGGGGTGGCGTGGAGCCTCAGCCAATTTGGAAAGCGCTGTGACCCAAGCACATTTTGCAGCAGCAATGTCAAACTCTGCTGTTCAGGCATGCCATTAGTGTGCATGCTGCCACACAGAAATCGGTGACACAAAGGCACAGCCTTCCCCACCCTCCTGGAGCTTAGAAACTAACGGCTCTAATGAGAAATGAGAGCTGAGAGGAGAGAGATGGGGGCGGGCCCCATCCGTGCAGGCTGGTGCTGTGTGCCGGAGAAGGCTGACCCATTTCTTTTGGAAGGAAGGGGCCTCGTGGGCTGGCCCACTGAAATGCCACTTAAATTAGCCACTGCTCCCCGCACAAGGTCCTCCTTTGTCCAAACCCCTCACTCGGAGCTCTGGGAAGGAGCCCCGTGGACCTGGCAGCGCAGCCGCCCTGTTCCCTTGGTCCCTTCACGCAGTGGGCTCTTTAGGGCTCAAGCTCCCCCACTCCAGCGACCTCTTAAGGGAGACAGGCCAGGACCACGCGAGTGAGCGCGTCCAGGTGGGCGCGCAGCGTGCTGGGCCTCTCTCTTTTTCCAGGCTTTTCGATTGTGCTGCGGGTTATTTAGCCAACAATAAGTGTTTATGTATATTTTTTTAGAGCTCATATTTATTAACAGCCTGAGACGGGGGAGATGGGGAGATTTATCCCGAGAACGCGGTGAGTTAAAAGGGACAATTAGAAGAGCAAAAAGAGATATCAAGCCCAGAATTGTAAAGGATATTTTAACGCATAAAGCTTTTTGAGATATTTTCCAAGTAGACAGAAAGTAAAAGAAAATTGGCCCATTATGAGCTGACAGTGGGGATTGGTGATGTGGGGCGTAGAGGAGGTGACGCTGTAGAGACAGGCAGGGCTGGTGGGGGGGGCAGGGCCGGCTGATCAGGCGGGATCACGGCCGCAGGAGGCTCCGGGATGGGTGCTGGGCCACTCACAGCCTGCACACGAGCACGCACGCGGAGAAAGGCTGGCTCCTCCAGGTCAGGGCCAGGTGGGGCCCGGAGGTGGGGTCTGCTCGGGCACCGGTGGGGACATCCTGGGGAGCTGGTGCAGACGGAGGGAGACTTGCCGAGGCCTCCCAAGGCTCTAGGAAACTCCTTCTGTCTGACCTCGGGGCCTGCACCTGCCCCCCAAGAGGCCCTCCTGGCTCTCCCAGCCCCCTCAGACCAGCTCGCAGGCCCTCCTGGAGGCCCCTCCGGTGCGGTGGCAGAGCGCTGGGTGATTAGTTGGGTGATGAGTAAACATCTGCCGGATGGGAGTCTTGGCTCCCTGATAGTGAACAGCACTAGCAGGAGAGGAGAGGGGGAGATGCGGCAGGCAGGAGGGGGTTCGGGGATGGCTGAGGCCAGCCAGGGTGGCGCGTACAGAGGGACCCAGGGGGGTGTCTGGGCAGGCGTCTGGAAGCCAGGTGGGGGCCGAGGGCAGGGAAGCAGGGTGCACAGGGCTGCGGAGACCGCGTGGTCATGGAATACTTCCCAAGCCTGGAAGCAGCAGGTGTCTGGGAACGGGACTGTGGCCCAGGCAGATTTCCAACGAGTGCTCCAACTCGCTGGCACGAGCGAAGGATCCGGCTGAACACAAGAGGCAAGTGGAGCCGATGAAACCCACCGTTGAGGAATCTCGGCAAGGGCACCACGGTCGGGGACAACATGTTCATACGAGGCCGGGGCGGTGGGAGGAAGACCCTGGCTGGGGAGCCACTCAGCCCCTCCACTCCCAGAGCAGCGTCCGATCCCCTGGGCCTCCCCCTGGTCAGGCGCAGCTCCCACGCCCTCAACTTGCAGTTATTTGCAGGTACCCCAGATGCGTGCTGTTGCCCACCTCCTGCCCTCTGCTTGGAATACTCCCCACACTCTTCTCTGGCCGACTCCTCATCCTCTGAGAGCCATTGGAGTGTCACCTCCTCTTGGAAGCCCTCTCCGACTCCCCCACCCCAGCTGAGCTCCTCATTTTGGGGGCCGAGAGGTGCTGACCCAAGCGCCAATCCCATACTGGTTGAGGATACTTGTTTCCATACCTGGGCTCTGAGCTCCCTGCAGAGAGCCACGTCTTCTCACTTTTATGGCCCTAGGGCCTGGACAATGGCTGGCACTCAGAGGTCCTTGATCAGCCTTTGTTGAATGAGCCGTATGGAGCCAGCCAAGCTCTGGGGTCATGGGAGTAGCATGTATGGAGTGACTTGGAGACCACCAGTGGCCACCCAGCCCCTCCGACAGGGCTGGCTCTGTCCTCTGGTCAGCCCAGAGTGGAGGACTATGTGGCAGGAGGCGGATGAGGGAGAAGAGATGGCTCCTCCTGGGGCTAACCCAGAAAGTACAGAGCAACGACGGCAGAGGGGCCGGCCTCCTTAGGACAAAGGAGGGGTGGCCTCAGCCCCGGAAGAGGACAGGAATCCACATCTCCCCACCCTGAACAACTGGGGGGAGGGTCTCCCGGTCTGGTGAATGGGTTCGGGTTCGGGTTCGGGTTAGGGTTAGGGTTAGGGTTAGTGTTAGGGTTCACCTTCACTTAGCCCCTGACGTGTCCACTTGCTTCGTTGTTTGGAGCAATGGTGTCATCCTAACTGCATAGCACGAGCTACTGAGTGACAAGTGATGTCATCCGCAACAGAGCCACCTTTATTCCCCCTCCCTCTTAGAGGAGAAAGCTACTAAAAATACACCTGGCGTCCTGGGCCCCACTGCCTCGCCTCTAATAACAATCGGCAACCAGAGACTGTGCTGTGCTTAACAGAAGCGGATCATTTATAAAACATTAGCATTTCTCGTACTGACATTTCACTTCCATATTACAGGACTCACTAAGACTTTTTTAAAAAATTTAATAAAGTGTTTACACTCTTGATTTTCCCACTGAGGGCTTTGCTGCCTAAAGTTGAAAATGAAATCAACAACATAACAACATCCTTGGGTTCTCAGGGACAGCCAGGCCCTGGCACCAGCCAGGGTCAGCTCGCAGGCCACTGGGGAGCAACTGCAGGCTGGAGATTGTGTGTTCTGCAGTCGCCGAGCTCCCTTTAGTGCGTGTTCCAAGCCTCGTACTGAGGAGGATTTGTCCAGCAAGGCCTGAAAACAGCAGCCTCCTCCCTCTGTCTGGGGAGCTCTCTCCTTTCTCTGAGGCCAGAGAGGCAGGTGCAGTCTCCAGGCCCGTCCACTGCTGTCTGGGTCAGTCCCTGGCCTCCTGGAAATGCCCCTGGACCCCAAGAACTGAATGTCCCCTTCCAGCTGCCCCCCCAACCCCCCTGAGAATCACTAACTCAGCAGCCGCTGCCAGGGCTCTTGGGAACAGGCCGGGGAGGGTCCAGGACCAGCCTGCTCCAAGGAGAGACAGAGATGGTGCCGGCCCAGTGCAGCCAGAATGTGAGAAGTGAATTATGTTCTGTGCGGGCAAGGGAGGAACCGCACAACAGAGACGCGCGCATGTGTGTGTGTGTGTGTGTGTGTGTGTGTGCATGTTCTTGCGTGTCCCTGTGAGTCAGTGTGCCCCTGCCCTGCGGCTCCTCCTCCCACCAGCAAACGTGCTGCGTTCTCGGAGCTGTGCCCGGCCAGGCGTGCCCACCCACAGGAGCCCAGGATCTGCCACCCGTCAGGAATGCGGGGTTAGGAAATGAAAAACAGGGTTCTTGTCCAAGATAATTTATTATTATTATTATTATTATTCTCTCTTAATTGGATTCAGTGTTTCTTGCTCCTCACACACATCCTCTCTGGTGGGGAGTTCAGGTTTGTGCAAAGCGCAAAGGAGATGGTGCCCACCCGGGCCCCCGGCCACCAGCATGGCCAACGTCCACCGGAGCCCGTCCGCCCCGTGCCCTGCACGCTGCCTGTCCCCACTCCTGACCCCTGAGTCTGGCCCCCTGACCTCTGCCTGTCCCTGGGCATCTCCAGAAGGGCCAGGAAGGATGGGGCCTCTGTAATGCAGAAGTGCCTGAGATGGTTCTAGAAATGCCCGCATCGATTCCCTTCTGCTAAGGCCGCCTGATGCTTCCCTCCTGCCATCCTATGTAGGGTCCTTGCCGGGTCTCCTACCAAAGAGCCTGAAGGAAAATCCAGCAGCTGAGCCAAGCTGGAGGCCTGGGCGCGTGCCCAGCATCTCCGTGGCCTGTCCAGACTGTCGCCGGCCACACGCTAGGCTCACAACACTGTCCAACCTGTTGGACTAACACTGTGAATGCTGCCACGCCTGCTGGCTCAAAAATCCCAAAGCCCCTTCCTTCCCTTCTCCAGCTCGCCCACCCCCAGGGCCTGTAAGCTGCTTCTCACTTCTCACCCAGAAGCCAACAGCTACTGTAGCAGGGGTGCCGGGGAGCTCCAGGGTGGCAGACAGGCTTGTGTTGCATATAAAAACAAGGTGATGTTCTAAGTCTCTAAGAATATTGGTCCCCTGAAGTGATTCTTGCTGCCTCCCCTTCTCCTTAACCCTCCCCACCAACACCTTGCCCCAGGCCCCTGGCAAACCCAGGTTCCATGGGGACTATGGTTGCCAGGTCGGGATTCTAGACAAAAACCCTCTAACTATTTCCTTGCTAGAAATCACCAATACAATCCTTATTCAGCAGGTACAGTTTTCCATATAGTTTATAAACATGAAAAGACATACAGTTTGGTAACGGAGTGGGCCGGGGGACCTGTGCGTCTGTATATATATATATATGTAGGGTGTGTATATATATAAGTGGACATAGTTATAAAACTGCACCTTCTGTGAGAACCTCATTCCCCGTGATGAAGTTCTAAATTTCAGCCTCTGATGATCTTTCCTTTGGTAATTGGTTCTTGGACCCCAGCAGTTGGGCCTGGGTCTGCCAGGGTTGCCTGAGACATCAGGAATGAGAGGCGTGACCCCCGAGGGTGGGGCTGAAGGTGGCATGGGGTTGGATTCAGGGCAGATTGACCAAGTGGCCTTGGGCAAGAGCCAAGATGCCACCTGCTGTGTGCGCCCAGCCTGCTGGTCGGCCCGGGCTCTTGGTGAGCCCTGTTGTTTCTTCTCTAAGTCCTGTTTCCTCCAGGAACGGCCGGGCCCGTTGGACCTCTCCAGATGACGGGGATTCCACAGAGCCCAGCTCCCGAGAGGGGCAGTTGTCCCATTGTTGCTAATGAAGGATTCACGTGTGCCTTTTACCACCTTGCCGGAGGGGACGCTGTCCGTGGGTGCTCTGCGGGGCTGGCTGGGGCAGCCGGGTGAGATGCGCTAATCCCCTCCTGCCCAGGGCTGTACACTTTGGGTTTCTAATCCACATGGCAGGGTCAAGAACGCAGCCGAAGCTTCTACCAGCCTTTTCCTGAAACTCAGCAGACCCTCCACTTGTAAAAAAAGAAGAAAAGAAATTCTGTTCCGTGGTGGACAAGTGGCAGTGCTGGGTGCTGACGCCCTGGGTCCTCAGCGGAGAGTAACTGCCAGCCCCAGTATCCAGGCCAGGAGCGAGGCTCCCAGGGAACTGCCCGAGGAGGCCTGCTGCACCCCGCTGGGGGCGCGGATGGGGGTCCTGCGGGCACACTTGCCCTTCCTCTTGGGCCGTCCCGTGGGCATAATGTCAAAGCTGAACTTGTGCTGGTAGTCAGGGGCGTAGTCCTGCAGCTCGTGGGCCTGTTTCCCGGCACCCGCCTTGGATATCTGGTTGCGGTTTCTGTGGCTGGTGCAGTTCTTGCCTTGCTTCTTGTAGCCCGGCCGGGAGCCGGGAAGATGGCCATGTGGGTGGCCCTTGTCCCTGGTGGGGCCATGGGGCGGGTGGTGCTCCTTGCGGGCGGCCCTGTCGGTGGTGCTGAGTGTGTGTGACTTGATCTGGTGCGGGGATGCCGGCCCCGTGCAGTTTCGGAAATCCTCGGCCCTCAGCAGCTTCAGGTCCTGGCCATGCCGCACCTCGGGGGACGCGCAGGGGACAGCAGAGCTGGAGCCTCGGAACCTCTGCAGCCATTCCCACAGGGAGCGCGCCCGGCAGCCACAGTCCCAGGCGTTCCCGTTGAGACGGAGGAACTCCAGGGCCCCCAGAGGAGCCAGGCATTCGCCCTGCAGCTCTGAGAGGCTGTTGTTGAAGAGGAAGAGGGTGGTCAGCCTGCGGAGGTCGTGGAAAGCCCTGTGGTGGACCCACTGCAGCTGGTTCTCGTGCAGCAGCAGACGGTCCAGGTTCACCAGGCCCCGGAAGGTGTCCTGGCCCAGACTCCACAGCTTGTTGCCATGGAGAAACAGGTGGCTGAGGTTGACCAGGTCCACAAAGATGTCGTCCTGGAGGTACTCAATGTGGTTGTCCTGCAGGTAGAGGTACTGCAGGCTGTGCAGGCCACTAAAGATGCCTGCGGGCAGGGCGCTGAGCCCACACTTATAGAGGTAGAGGGCGTGGAGCTTCACCAGGCCCTGGAAGGTCTCCGGCGCCAGCGTCCGTAGCTGCCGGTTGTCACCGAGGTCCAGCTCCTCCAGGTGCACAAAGCCCTCGAAGGTGTTGGGGTCGATGAAGGTGATGTTGTTGGAGTAGATCCACAAGGTGACCATGGCAGGGCTGAAGTGGCCCTGTTGGAGGAGGGTGATGCGGTTGTTCTGCAGGAAGATGCGCTCGCTGTCCACGGGGATGCCCTCGGGGATGGCAGCAAAATTGTGTGCCTGGCAGCTGACCGTCATGGGTGCCGGGTAGCACACGCAGTCCTGTGGGCAGCCGCCGCCCAGGGGCAGCTCCCCGGCCAGCAGCAGCAGCAGCAGTTCCACACAGCACCCTGGCGGGAGAGAGAGCACAGCCGGGTCAGGCACCGCCTGGGGAGGCGGGAGGTGGGAGGCAGGTGGGGAGCGGGGCAGGGACTGGCACAGGACCCTCCTGGGCCCACTGGGCGCTGTCCTCAGCGTGGCTGTGCTCAGTGCGCTGGGCTGGAAGCCCCTGGGAGCCTGGCACCTGAATGGAGGAAGGCAGGGGTTGCACCTAAGCCTGGAGCCAATCTGGGACTAGACACCTGTCCCTAGTCCAGGCAGAGAGGGCCCCGCCGGGCAGAGAGGTGACTCTGGGGTGAAGGCCCTGTACACCCAGCATCTCCTGAGTCTCGCCCATCTGGTTTTGCCACCTGCTGGGGTGGGGACCATGACCCCCGGACGCAGCCAGTCAGCCTCCCGCTCTCGTCCAGCTCTGTCACTGGCCTACAGTTATCTGCACTCAGAGCTGGTGGCACCCGCTCTTATTCTAATAAACGAAATATCTCATGTGCAATCCGGAGGAATCTTTATTTAAATTATTCCCGATAACAAGCAGACCGTGCATGCATGACACCAAAGTTCACCTCGGATAATGTCTCCTTTACAGTGTCTTCCACATCCTCAAATATGCAACACCCCCTCTGTGCCTCAGTTTCCTCATTCTCCAATACAGATAGTGATAGTTCTCCCCGGCAGAGCTGTGTGGATGGACTGGGAGGGCACATGTCTGTGAGGACCAGTGCTGGCACCAGGTGGCACCAGCTGCCAGATAGAAGCTGCCCCTGTCCTGGCAGACCTGGCCCCCTCCCCTCTCTCAGCCTTGCTGACCTCCCAGGCTGTCACTGCAAAACCAGGCCTTGCCTCGCGACTGTCCAAAGCATTTCCTCTGTAGCTTTCCTCTAATTGGACATTAATTAGGCATTCGTTAATGGATCCTTAAAATAATTTATTTTCGGATGTGTCCAGCCTGTGGTCGGATAATAGCCCTGTGTTTATTATTGGAGCAGCCTCATTATGGACGATTGTCATTACCTGCCTTTTTCCAGGGTCACAGCTGCCCCAGGCAGCCCGACAGGCGCGTCGGGGCGGGGGACAGGCTCCAGGCCTCCAGCACACACCCCCTCAGGGCCAGGCAGTCGTCTCCCCCAACCCGGCTGGCTTCCTGCCTCTTCACTTCCGGCTTGTCCAGCAGCCTCTGGGAAGAGCTGGGGCACCCAGGGCAGCTCAGCCAGGTCCCTGCTGCCAGCTGTGCCCAGAGCATGTAGGGTGGGAGAACTATCCCTCCTGGCCACTCTCGGGCCGGCCTCATTCCCAGCCTCCTGCCGGCCACCCGCCCAGGCTCCCAGCCCAGCAGGCCTCACCGCCACTGTCGTTCGCTTGTTCCTGGCGAGACGGTGCCATAAATAAGTGACAGCTCCCAGCTGTTGGGAGTTATGGGCTCCCAGAGAGTGGCAGCTGCTTCCCGTCCCCCTGTAATCACCCAGCTTCGACCGAACGTTTCCAACACATAAAAATCATCGCACATAATTTGGTTTTTGCATAATTGGGCTTGGTTGAGATTTCAGAGCAATTATGACCTCAGAATGCTGGTGGCAGCATAGCTTCGAGGACCTTTTCTGGGCCAGGCCGAGCACTATGCAGCCTCCATAGTGCCTTGTCACCCCAACCACTGGACAGCCTGCGTGCCAGGCCAAGGCTGCTGCTGCCTCGGCCTCAGTTTCCCCCTCTAACATGCGTACAAGATGATCACTATGCCGGCCCGCCCCACTCAGCGGCTCAGGTCTGGCCTCTGGCCCCCACTGTCCACCTCCGTCTGCCCAGGGGGCCCCAGCCCTGCAGGGGTAGACAGGGGTGTCAGAGGTAGGAGCCTGGGCTACAGACCCCCACTGCTTCTCAGGGAGCCTGCCCACTGTCCAAAGCCTCCCCACCCGGGCTGGGAGGGGGCCCAACCCATGCCGGCTGCACCTTCCGGGAAGCCGACGCTCCCTCTCTCCTGGCTCAGCTCGTGCTCCTTGCCCCGCCCCAGCTGCTGCCTCCCAGGAAGGCTGCACCTGCAGGAACCCTCCCCAGGGAGCGGCCCCCACCTTGCCACTCTGAGGGAGCCCAGGGTGTCCCTCCTAGCTCAAGGGTGTTCACGGCGCTCACTGGGCCTCATCCCCCATCTCAGGCTAAAGGGGACAGGGCCTCGGCCACACCACCTCCACCGGGCATGCTGCAAAGACAAAGGCATTTCTTTCCCTCAGTCTATGGCAGAAGAGGCCTGGCCGCAGGGGGACAGGGGCGAGCTGTGGCCAGCTCAGCGCTAATACCACTCGACATTTGTACAGCTTATTGGAGTTTACAAAGTGCTTCTGCCGCGCTCCTCTGATCCTCAGAGCTACCCTGTGTGGTGGGGTGTGGGGGCAGCCCTGCGCCACCCGCTGTTGTGGCTCTGTCTTTGCAAGAGGCAAGGGTAGGGTTCTCTGAAATGGTCTCCAGAGAAGCTAGGGGGCCCCATGGAGAGACATACCTGCCTCAGACAGAACGCAGGTGCCTCCAGGGGATGTCAGAGCACAGGGGAAACCAGACGAGGACCCTAGTTTAGGTGAAAAAGCCAAACTGCCCAAAAATCCAGGTTGGGGCTTAGCTCCAGCTTGTGAATGAACTGCGGCAGGTGGGAGGGGTCAGATAGCAGGGGCGGCAAGAGGTGAGACGGAGGGCAGAAGCTCCTCTGTCCTTCCTCAGACAGGGCCACAGGAGGAGGCAGGGATCCCCGCCAAGGCTTGGTGCAGGGCCCAGCTCACATTCCCTGTTATCTCAAGGGGCTGAGGTTGGGGCTGGGGCAACAAGGCCACAGAGACCTGTATGGGGCAGTCCCTTCCTGCCCAAGGCCCGAGGATGACGGAGGGCACCTCAGGAAGTAGGCTGGTGGCATCTGAGCCCAAGGGAGCTGTTCCCCATCCTTCAGTACTACCCAGATGCAGGGGACCCCTGCTGGGCAAGCTGCCCTTTTTACTGGGGGTTGGGGGGTCTCTGCTGAGTGTTTCCTCCACCCTGGAAGCCCATCCCATCTCCAAGACCTTGGACCAGCTGTCCTAGCCAACACCGCCTGCCTCTGGTACCGCCTGCCAGAGCCAGTGTGCGTGCCTGGTCCTGGACTGTCACCCTGCCGGGTTTCTCCCCAGGGAGGCTGGCACTGCTTCCCCAAGGCTCCTCCTGAGTCCCACCCACTAATTGCCTGATTAATGTACTAAAAATGAGACCCTTGCCTTTGCTGTACGTTTTAAGACTGCAAATTAGCAGGGATCCCGGAGGGAACCAGCCTCCTCGGCCCCTCCTGGGTGGGGCGGGTTGCTGCGGCTGAGGAGGCTGAGGGAAGCAAGGCTGGGCCTCCCCCAATCCTTCCCCAGGGCTGTCCTCCTCCAGGGCATGCACCCCGCTGACTACAGGCTACCCCCAAACCGCCCGGCCTCCCCCATGTCTGAGCTCGCCGGCTCCGCGGCTTCATTGATTCCTTCCCGGCACTTGCCGCCTGCACCCCGGAGTGTCGGAGGAGCCAGCCGGGAGGGCCCAGATGAGCCAGGGTCCCTGTGGCTCACTAGCAGGTGGGGAGCTCGCAGAGTAGGTGCCTGAGTGTGTAGGGGGAGGGCCCCTGCTGCCCCATGCCGCCTGCCAACATTGTCTTGTCGCCGGTCAGCTGTGTGATGCGTGCAGTTCCTCACCCTCCTGGGGCATTTAATCTGTGAAACGGGATTCAGAAGGGTCCTTGCCTCACGGGGCTGCCTTAGGATCCCACGAGATGACATCTGCTCAGTGCTTAGTGTTTTCAGGTCCTCCTTCCTGCAAACCCCAAAACCTCTGCCTGCTGGGCAGGGGTAAGTGGCCCAAGCACGGGTAGATTCCACACCCAGTCCACTCAGCAGTCCCCAGATGTGCTTATAAACAGTTCTTGGGGGCCAGACCTGCTGGGGTGGGTGGAAAGGGAAGGCAAGGGCACGGCATGTGCAAAGGCACTGGGCTGGGAAGGCAGGGGCGTGCCGCTTCTCGCCCTGGCCGCCCTCTCTCAGGCTCTATGAAGGCAGAGCTTGCGAGGAGGCTGTTAGCTCAGCTCTGCTGGGGAAACCCGGGGCTGGGCTGGCCAGACAGCTCCCACTGGGACCAGCACTGCCAGGGCCCTGCCCTAGGCCAGGCCAAACCGCCAGTGTGGCAGAGGCCCTGAAGCTTCCCAGCCCATGGAAACAGGGAAGGGAACTAACCCCCAACTGCGCACCAGTTCCTCTACATGGAGTCCTCACAGTCTCACAGTGGCCCGGTTGGAGCAGCACCGTTTCACAGAGGAGGAACAAAGCCAGCAGAGGGTGAGCGATTGGCCGGGGTCACACAGCTGGTGAGCCTGGCAGCGGAGCAGGCCTCAGCCAGCTGACTCCGAATCCAGGGCTCTGCCCCAGCTCCACGCTGCGTGGGGTGGGCAGGGCAGCCTCAGCTGCGGGCTGATTGGCCCTGCAGGCCCCAAAGTCTCGGCCTGCTCACCTCGACCCACTGGTACCAAAGAGCTGTCCCCGCACCTGAGCAGGCATGGCCCGGTGGTTCTCATCCTCGTGGCCCCCCAGGCAGGTCTGCGGGGCTCTAGGGACTGGTCATTCATGTGGTCAGTCCCTCTGGCTCTGCAGCCCTCCCTCCCCCCACACCCTCCTGCACTGCCCCCAGCCGCGCCAGATGCTGCTGCTCTCTAAGCCAATCGATGCTAACCGAATGCTCTCTGCTGGTCAGATAGTGTCCTCAGGCCAGGCCGGCTGTGCTCACGGGGCTGCTGGCGCCTCAGGCCACTTGGCACTGTCCCTCCATGCTGCACCCAAGCACAGGCCACTTCCTGGTGAGTCTGTCCCCTACTCCCGCCCAGAGCCTGGCCCAGCCCTGGAGACAAGGAAGGGCACAGCTGGGCTTCCCTCATGGGCCCCCACTGCTGGATATGGGGAGTGGGGTGCACAGGATGCCAACGGCTCCCTGTGCACGGCATGGGGAGGTGGGAAGAGCACAGGCTTTGCAGCCAGGGAGACCTGGGTTTGAATCCTGGCTCCCAGACTTTGGTGTGTGAGCCTCGTTTTCCTCACCTATAAAATGGGGACAGTTATTTAACGCTCCGGGCTGGGCCTCTTGTCCGTGGACTCCAGTCTCCACCTGCCTCCGCCACCCCTCCATCCACCAAGCATGGTCCTCCAACACCCAGCTCTGCTCTCCCCAACGTCTCCTCCACTCACCTTTTCCACCTCAGGTAAAGGTGCCACCTTTGTTTTGACTGCTCAGGCCAAACACTCTGGAGCCATAGTGACTCCCCCGTCTCTGTCACTCCACACACAACCTCTCAGGAATCGTACAGGCTCAACTTCAGAATTTATCCAGCATCCATCCACTTCTCACGGCCACCACCCCAGTCTGGGCAACCACCCTCTCTCGCCTGGACTGTTGCCAAGCTCCCAAGGGGTCCCTCTGCCCCCTCCCTTGCCCTGTAGCTCTTCTAACACGGCAGCCAGAGAGCTCCAGCAAAAGTCTAAGTCTCCCCTGCTCAAACCCTCCATGGCTCCCACCTCACCCAGTTAGGGCCCTCCAAGTCCAAACTGCGGCCCAGAGGCCCTGCCCAATGTGAGACGCCCACGCCCCCTTCCCTGCCCCAGCCACACTGGTCTCCCTGCTGTCCCTCCTACCTGCTTGGATGTTCCAACCCCGGCCTTTTGCACATGCTGCTCCCTGTGCCTAGAACGTTCCCCAGGGTGTGGGCGGGGCTCCTGCCCTCACCTCACCCATCACTCTGTCCCAAGTCACCTCCTTGTGACACCTTCCCCCAGCAGCCTATTTTAAAGTTGTCCCTTCCCTGTTTTACTTTATAGCATGCATCCTCTTCTAGTATGCTACATATTAATAATTTACTTATTTATGTTTTACTTTTTTTCTTTCTTATCTTCTTCCACGGAGTGCCAACTCCATGAGGACAGTGATTTGTCTGGTGTGTTCTCTGCTGTGCCCCCAGGGCCTGGGACAGTGCCTGCCACCCAGCAGGTGCCCGGTAACAATGGCTGAGGAGGGAAGCACCTTTCTGAGTCATTGGAGGATTGAGATGACACTCAGAAGGCCCTAGGCCCAGGACCTGGCTCAAGAAATAGGGTAGCTCTTATTAGAACTGGAAACTCAGAGCTTCAGGGGGAGAGTAGGGACTAGGCCTTGGTTCTGTCCTGGGGCCCCCTTTGGTCCATCGCAGAGTTGACCAGATGGCGAGAAGAGGATGTCCATCACCTCTGGGAAGGGTGGTGCAGCACCAGCCCTGCCTGGGACACAGTGACCAGGGTAGGTTTGCCTGAGACTGAGGGGTTTCCCAGCATGTAGGACTTCCGATGCTAAAACCTGGACAGTCCCAAAGAAACCAGGACAGATAAATCACCCCATATGTGCTGGCATTGTGCTCCCCACTAAAACCTCCCAATGCAGGAGAGGGAGGGGAAAAACAGGCAGACGGGGGGCAGGCCTGGGCTGGGACTGAGCCTGTGTGGGCACGGGGGTCTGCGTGCACCTGTGTGTGAATGTGTATCTGTGTGCACACATGTGTCTGCACGTGCATGTTTATGTGCATATGTGCATGTGTACACGTGCATATACATGGCTGTGTGCTGTGCACAGCGCATGCATGTGTCCACATATATGTGTATGCACATGAAAGCATGTTTGTCTCTGGGGCCCGTCGATGCGCCGGCAGCCTGGGCCCCTTTCATCCTGCAGTGTCTCTGGCACGATGTCCCGGAGCAGGGGCAGAGCCCTTTTCTGAGCAGAGGCACACATCCGGCTGGGAGACGTCCTCGCCTTATCTCAGCGCTCACCCTGGCTTTGCCTTTAGCTCCCGCCCTCCTCCGACACACTGGATTACGCACCCACTCCAGGTCCCTCCAGCAGGCCAGGATCACTCTCAGCTGAGAAGTGGGCGGCCCC